CAGCCGGAGGCTGGTGGCTCGTGGTCTGCGCCGGGGTGGATGCAGGGACCAGTCCTGTTCAACGTCATCAAGAAGGACCTGGGCACGGGGTGGATGCACCCCAGCAGCGCTGCAGGTGATGGAGCGGGAGGAGCTGGAGCACCAATGGATGCTGGTGTCGTGCAGATGGACCTTGGCACCCTGGATGTGCAGAGCCCTGTGAGTGTCATACAGAGAGGGAATGGAGCAGAGGGGGGCAGACTCCTCTTGGTTGCTCTCACAGGCAGGACAAGAGGCAAGAGGTACACATTAAAACCACCTGAACAGAAAACACCTTCCACTGGAGCAGCTTGCTCCAAGCCCCTGTGTCCAACCTGGCCTTGAGCACTGCCAGGGATGGGGCAGCCACAGCTTCTCTGGGCACCCTGTGCCAGCGCCTCAGCACCCTCACAGGGAAGAGCTTCTGCCTCAGAGCTCAGCTCAGTCTCCCCTCGGGCAGGTTCAAGCCATTCCCCTTGGCCTGTCCCTACAGGCCCTTGTCCCAAGCCCCTTTCCAGGTTTCCTGGAGCCCCTTTAGGGTACTTTAAAGTCCTGGAGCCTTGGAGCAGAGCTGCCCAAATCCCATGGAAGTGCATGGCAGAAAGGGAACAGGGCTCGCAGAGCTGCTGAGCTGAGCTGCTCTGCACTGGTGCTCCCAGCCCCAGCTCTGGCTTTGACCGGGAGGTCCCTGAAGGTGTCCTGTGGCAAGGGGGAGAAGATGCCAGAAGCTTCCCCCATGTCCAACAGAGGCAATGCAGCCTCCCTGGCATGGACTCACCGCTGGTCAAGGCTGAGCCCATCGGTGACAGTGGTGGTGCCTCTGGGACAACGTATTTAAGAAGGGATAGAAACTGCTGGGAGGGAGGAGTGAGAATGTGTGAGAGAACAGGAGGTGCGCTGGGTGCTGGGGCAGCGATTCCCCTGCAGCCCATGGACATCCATCCCATCCATCAGGGATGAAGATGAGCTTGGGAAGAAGGGAGGAGTGCGGGGAAGGTATTTTAGATGGGTTCCTGTCTCTCATTATCCTGGTCCATCATTAATTGGCAATGAATTGAAATCAGTTCTCCCAAGCCAAGTCTGTTTTGCCAGTGATGGTACTTGCGGAGTGAACCACGAGCTTTCCCCCATACACCGCACCCGGCATCCAGCCAAGGTCACCCACCACCCTGCCTGCTCTGATCTCTTCACAGTACCCCAGTATGTTAGAGATTGGAAGGGACCTCAAAAGCTCATCCAGTCCAATCCCCCTGCCGGAGCAGGAACACCTGGATAAGGTTACACAGGAACGTGTCCAGGCGGGTTTTGAATGGCTCCAGAGAAGGAGACTCCACAGCCTCCCTGGGCAGCCTGTTCCAGTGTTCTGTCACCTCACTGAGAAGAAGTTTCTTCTCCAGTTTAAGTGGAACCTCTTGTGTTCCAGTTTGCACCCATTGCCCCTTGTCCTATCATTGTTTGCCACTGAGAAGAGCCTGGCTCCATCCTCGTGACACTCCCCCTTTATATATTTATATACACTAATAAGGTCACCCCTCAATCTCCTCCAAACTATAGAGACCCAGCTCCCTCAGTCTTTCCTCTTCCCCTTCTTGAGCACCCTCATCCACTCCCTTTCCGACTGCGAGCTTCTCGGTGTCAACCCAGGCAATGCCACTGCAGGGCCCAGGAGCCCTCTAGTGATGGTGCCGGTCACTGCCACAGCACCCAGTCCGCAGCCAAGCGAGAACCCGAGGCTCCATCCCTCACTGAAGCCAGTGGAAGATTTTGTCTCCTCTTTTCATGCTTTTTATGCTGCTGTGCTTGTAAGATGAACCCACAGCCTCCCGCAGCTGACTCACAAATCCATGTTCTCCCCACAGACAAAAGTTGTTGGCCGTGCCAATGTGAGGATGGTGCGAGCTCCTTGCGAACATGTGGGCTTGAGGAGCCAGAGCCCAGCTCCAGGGCAAGCACTGCAGGCAATGGCTGTGGAGTTCAATGGGGGGATCAATCCGTGTCCTCCCCATGGGTGGACACATCTGTGCTTCAGCTTCTCTTGTCGCATGGTTGCACAGGGAGGCAAGTGTGAGAGACAATGGCAGGGAAAGGAGGGAGTCATTTGCAGGACTGAAAGGAAGAGCCCACAGAAGTAAGCGAAGGAGCATGTCTGAAGGGCTCTATCAAGGCTCTGCATCCAGAGAGCTGGTTTTCTACACTTGACACCATGACTGCATCACTCTGTACCGTGTCTGCTCTCATCTGATGCTATATTCTCATTCAATGAACAGGAAGTCAAGCAAGAATGCCCAGGAGCTCCCTGGAAAGAGGCATGAGCAGCAGGTCTAAGGAGGTGATCCTTCTACTCTGCCCTTGTGACCCCTCTTGCAGCACTGCGTGCAGTTCTGGTGTCCCCAACATAAGGACATGGAGCTGCTGGAGCAAGTCCAGAGGAGGCCACGAGGATGCTCAGGGGCTGGAGCAGCTCCTGTATGGAGCCAGGCTGAGAACATTGGGGCTGGAGAAGAGAAGCTGCGTGGAGACCTCAGAGCAGCTTCCAGTGTCTGAAGGGGGCTACAAGGATGCTGGAGAGGGGCTCTGCATCAGGGACTGTAGGGATGGGACAAGGGGTGATGGGTTCAGACTGAAACAGGGGAGTTCAGGTTGGAGATAAGGCAGAAGCTCTTCCCTGTGAGGGTGCTGAGGCGCTGGCACAGGGTGCCCGGAGAAGTGGTAAATTCCCCATCCCTGGCAGTGCTCAAGGCAGCCGCGGGCAGGGCCCGAGCTGGGCTCCCTGTGGGAGATGATGGAACGGGCTCTGCCCATCACCGCTACGGCGGGCTCCGCGCCCCTGTGATGGCGCCAAAACCGCTCGCACCGAACCTTCCCGCGGGTACTCTGGCTCCGCCCCCGGTGGGGAAACCACGCCTCTTCCATGTAGAGGACACGCCCCCTGCGCGGGTGCCGCTGGGGGCTTGGCGCCGCCTAGCGGTTCAGATCAACACAGCCTCGGGAAGGGGGGGAGTTGCCATTGATGGGGGGGCAAATAGCGAGCGAGGGGCTGGGGGGGAGCTTGTGGGGGCTGTGGGGCTGTAGTGCGGTGGTGGTGATGTGCAGTGGTGGTGGTGATGTGCGGTGGTGGTGATGATGTGCAGTGGTGGTGGTGATGTGCGGTGGTGGTGGTGATGTGCAGTGGTGGTGATGTGCGGTGGTGGTGATGTGCAGTGGTGGTGATGTGCGGTGGTGGTGGTGATGTGCGGTGGTGGTGATGTGCGGTGGTGGTGATGTGCAGTGGTGGTGATGTGCAGTGGTGGTGGTGATGTGCAGTGGTGGTGATGTGCGGTGGTGGTGGTGATGTGCGGTGGTGGTGGTGATGTGCAGTGGTGGTGATGTGCAGTGGTGGTGATGTGCGGTGGTGGTGATGTGCAGTAGTGGTGGTGATGTGCAGTGGTGGTGGTGATGTGCTGTGCTGGTGTGTCCTTAAGCCATGGCAGGGACCGTAGCAGCTCCCCGGGCTCCTGCCCAGGGCCCTGCTGCCAACTTCTCCCCCATCACCTCTCTCTGCTTCTCCATACAGAGACGTTCCCTCTCAGATGCCAATGGCATCAGAGGTGCCCGGCGTGAGCTTTGCAGCTCCAGCCATGCCCATGGCCATGGGGACCCCCTGTGCCCTGGGGGCTCCTGCACATCCTGTACAAAACCCAAAGCTGATGCTTGGGGGTGGCAGAGTCTGCAGGCCTCTGCCAATGGGAGCTGCATTGCCCCGGGGTTGTGATGGCTTTGTTTGCACTGGGAATGCCTTGAACACTGCCAGGGATGGGGCAGCCACAGCTTCTCTGGGCACCCTGTGCCAGCGCCTCAGCACCCTCACAGGGAAGAGCTTCTGCCTAAGAGCTCAGCTCAGTCTCCCCTCGGGCAGGTTCAAGCCATTCCCCTTGGCCTGTCCCTACAGGCCCTTGTCCCAAGCCCCTCTCCAGGTTTCCTGCAGCCCCTTTAGGCACTGGAGATGCTCTAAGGTCTCCCCTTCAGGAGCCTTCTCTTCTCCAGGCTGCCCCAGCCCAGCTCTCTCAGCCTGGCTCCAGAGCAGAGCTGCTCCAGCACTCACAGCATCTCCATGGCCTCCTCTGGCCTCGCTCCAACAGCTCCAGGTCCCTCTTGTGCTGCTGCCCCTGAGCTGGATCAGGGCTCCAGGGGGGTCTCCCCAGAGCACAGCAGGAGAGCATCCCCTCCCTCAACTTCATAGGGAACTCCTACAGAGAGCCCTGTAGGGGTTCAGAGGAGGCTCTCATGGACGCCCCTATGGAGAGACTCCTGCAGCCTCCATCTTTGTGTACCTGCACAGGGAGGGGAGCAGGAGGCACACACCGCAGGTCACACACCGCAGAACCTGTGGGTGAGCAGCACAGGGGGTAAGTGATGAACCGGTGGGGTCAGACGAGGCTGTGCCGAGCGGATGGGGCCCTGTTCACTTCTTCTTCCTGTTGGACTCATAAATTAAAGCTTAATTTACAGACTCCACTGCCCTAAAACTCGACAGGGCCAAAAGGTTGGAGCCAAACCTGCTGGTGGGGTGCTCCCCCCACTGTGCCCCCGTGTGTCCCCCCCGCAGCTGGCCACAGTGGGGCTGGTACAGCACAGTGAGTGCTGCTGTGGGGCAGTGGTCCCACTGCCGCTCTTGGGGTGCTGGGGATCCCTGGGGGCCTACCGGCGGGCACGGTGCTGCTGGGGTCCCAGGGTATTGCAGTCAGGTGGGGGTCCCACTGCACCCCACTTTGGGGGGGGCTGGGGTTCCCCGGGTACCATGGGGGTGGGCTGTTGTCACTTGTGAGTGTCCCACTGCCATGGAGGGCTCTGCGGGAGCGACCGGGGGCGACCCTGGGCACTGGGGGGGGGGGGCACAGGTGCCGTGGGTGCGCTGAGGCCTCCGCGGGAGCCGCGGCGAGGACGGGGCCCTCGGGGAGCCCGGAACGTTTGGGCGCGGGGCGGGTTCCGGACGGGCGGGCGGGCAAGTGCGGGTGCGGAGCGGAAGCGCGGGCGGGCGCGGTTGCCGTGGCAGCGGTCCCGGAGCCGCCATGGAGGCCGCGGCCGCGCTCACCGATATGTACGACCAGGCGCTGCTGGGCATCCTGCAGCACGTCGGGAACGTGGAGGAGTTCCTGCGCGTCCTCTTCGGCTTCCTCTACCGCAAGACCGACTTCTACCGCCTGCTGCTGCGGCCCGGGGACCGCCTGGGCTTCCCGCCCGGCGCCGCGCAGGCCATGGCCCTCCAGGTACCGGCGGCGCGCTCGGGCCTGCTGCGCTCTCCCGGCTCCGCGGCTCCGCCTCAGGCCCGGCGGGGCAGGCGGCAGAGACCGCGGTGGGCGGTGTTGTCCCGGTCGCTGGGCCTCGTCAAGGGCGTTTGTCCCATCCGAGCCGGGCCGCGTCTGCCGGGAGAGACCGGGAATGGGGAGCGGGCAGCGCGGGAGCTCCCGGGTAACCGGCCCTGCCCCGAGGGGCCGGAGGGGGCCCGGCGTGGGGCGGGAGTCACAGAATCGACCAGGTTGGAAAAGCCCTTTAAGGTCACCCAGTCCAACCCTTGCCCCAGCACTGCCAAGGCCACCCCTAACCCATGGCACTGAGGCCTCGTCTCCACGCTGTGTGAGTACTTGCAGGGCCGGTGCCTGCAGCCCTGCCCTGGGCAGCCTGTTCCAATGCCTGAGCACCCTCTGGGGCAGGAATTGTTCCTCGGCTCCATCTAAACCTGCCCTGGTGCAGCTTGAGGCCGGTTCCTCTTGTCCCATCCCTTGTTCCTTGGGAGCAGAGCCCAGCCCCTCCTGGCTCCATCCTCCTGTCAGGCAGTTGGAGGCAGCCATCAGGTCCCCTCTGAGCCTTCTTTTCTCCACACTGAACCCCCCAGGTCCCTCAGCCCTTCCCCATCACCCCTGTGCTCCAGGCCCTGCACCAGTTCCATTGCCCTTCTCTGTCCCCGCTTCAGCCCCTCAGTGTCTCTCTTGGAGTGCTGGGCCTAACTCAACCTCCAGCCTATGCTAGGCAGGCATGGCCAGAAGCAGACTGCAGAGTGGGATGACACAGCGTGCGGAGCAGCCTCACCCTGGGGCAGGGAGGGATGGCTTTTCTCTGAGCAAATGCATGGCTTTGACCTGAATCAGTCAGTTCTGACTTGAGGTCACTCTGCTCCTTCACCTGTGTGGCCTGGGAGCTCCAGGTGAGCTCTCCTCCAGCTTCTCCTGGTGCAGCTTGCCCTGGTTGCACCTCAGAGCTTTGCTCCAAGCTTCAGCCTTGCAGACAGCCCCTGGGTGAGCACGGGCTCCTTGGAGCCCCTTTCCGAGCTGGCAGTTGTAGCTCCTTGCTCTCCCCTTTGCAGGCGGATGTGAGTTTGGCTGCCAGGACATGCCCCAGGACATGATTTCAGAAGGGCTTCCAGGAGCTTGGGCTTTCTCCCGAGCTCTGTTCAACGTGGCCCTATGGCTTTTGAGCTGGTCACCAGCTGATTTTGTTGGTGACTGAAGCAGCTCAGTGTGGGGAGTGGGGGGTCTGTAGTGTCCAGAGAGGTAGGGACAGCTCTGAGTGCCCCAAATGCATGATGCTTCTCCTCTCCTTCTCCCTGGCTTCTCCAGCAGAGCTCGGCAGCTCGCTCACCCACTGGGTTTGCTTTTTGCCTTTCAGGCTTTCAAAGTCTTTGAGCGGATGGCCCGGCAGGATGATGAGAAGAGGCGCCGAGAGCTGGAGGCAAAGCTGAGGAAGGAGGAGGAGGAAGCTGCTGAGAGGGTGAAGCCGCCTGCTGCAGCTCAGGAGGTGGAGGTTGAGACAACAACAGAGCACATCCCAGTGGCGGATGCTGCGGGGACACAGGAGTCGGCTGGAGCCCAGAACGCAGCCCCCAGCCTGGTGTCTGCAGAGTCCCTGGGGGCTGCTGCCCAGGCAGAGCTGCCCACGTAAGGGTCTCTCTTTGTGCTCCTGTCAGGGGGGAGGCAGAAGCATGGAAGTGGTGTTTGCTGTCCTGTGCACAACCCCTTGCTGTTCTCTGTGGCGCTCAGCCCTGCAGGAGGCTCCCGTGCGGGCTCCAGTGGCTGGAGGCAGTGTGTGCTTACCCACGGGAGGGCAGGGGTTTGATTTCCTGCTGCTGGTTTGGTGTCTTCCCATCATGTAGCCCTTTTCTCATGGCAGTTAGGTGTCGGACTCCCCTTGGGTGCTATGAGATACCCGCAATGCCTGCGAGGCAGCACAAGCAAGGCTGGTGTGAGGCAGACAGCGAGGCCAGCCACGGCATCAAATACACACGGGAGAATTGGGTTCAGAGACCTCTGGAGGTCCCTTTGCTCAGAGCTGGGCCAACTTTGAAGCTCAGTCAAGTGGTGCAGTGAGTTCTGTCTTTAGCTGTGTTCTTTTGCCAAAATGAGCTGCTTTCAAGCCTTGTGATTTAGAGAAATGTCCTTGTTGCAAAGCCTTCCTCCAGCTTGACTCTGCTGCGCAGCAGGAGGGGAGCTCCTGTGGGCTGGTGTGGCCTTTCTGAACCAGTGTCTGAGCACAGGGTCCTTTCTCAGGCCTCACCTTGACTGTGGAGCCGGGGCAGAGCTGCCCAGCCCTTGTTCAGGGCCTCCTCAGCCCAAGGCAGTGCTTGCCTCACCATGTGTGGGCTGTGCCCCACTGACATCTCCTCTGTCCTGCCCCAGTGTCACTCATGGTTGGAGCCCCGTGCACTCACTGTTGCTTTGCTGGTCCTCTGTAGGGCTCGCTGCAGTCTGTCCCTGCTGTCCCACGGGTGTGTGGTGAGGAGGACAGCTTGGGCCAGTGGCCCCTGTGCTCTGGGCCAGTTGATACACAGCAGCAGTGAGAGCAGGCCCTTTGGGAGAGCCCCACATCCTTCCAGTGCTACAGGGGTAGAGAGGATTGAGAGCCCAGACTTCAGGGGCTGGCAGCTCTTGGCGTGTGGAAGGGGTGGTCAGAGCACCAAACCCTTGGGGGCAGTGGCAGGGCTGTGGCAGTCTGAGCCTGTGGTGGCAGAGAGGAGGGCCCAAGCGTGGCAGCTGTCTGGTGGAAGGGGAAGGGTATCAGTGGCTGCTCCTGGGCAAAGGGCCTGCTGAGTAACTTGATGCCATGGGGCAGAGGAGACGGACTTGGGCTTAACTCCACAGGTCTGACACAAATCCGGCAGGATAAAAATAAGCCAGAGGCCAAAAATGAGCTCACCTGAAAAGCTGCGTCCTGCCGCCAGCGCTGGCCTGGGGAGGGAAGGTTGTCCTCAGGACTGTCAGTCTGACACCTCTCCCAGCACAAAATGAACAAGCCAAAAAAAGCCCTGTTGGAGCAGGCAGGTCTCTGTGATTTACCCTAATTGAGAGGGGGGTCTCAAGCCCGTGGGGGCAGGAGGGAGCTGGGCTGCCCTGAGCGCTTCTGCCCCTTTGCAGCCCACGTTTCTTGCCTTCTGCCATGTGAAAATGCCACTCGGGCCTTTTGTTGTGGGGCAGCAGCTGCTGTAAGTGGTGTTCAGGTGCTTGAAAACAGATGTCAAGGCTGTGGGAACGGAACTGGAGGGGTTAGGAAGGAAGCCGAGGGCCGCTGTGGGAACAGGACGTGTCTTGACAGTGAGTACATGGGAGCTGACAGGGACGGTTTCTGCTGCAGGTGGTGGGAGTCCTGCGAAAGCTCAGCCCTTTCCTGGTCCCTGCTTTGGGTGTCTGTCCTGGTGCAGTTGGAGAGTGGCCTGTGGCAGAGTTCAGGCTCTTGGATGCTGTTCTGCACCCATAGACATTGCATTGAACACAAAGCTGCGTGGCTGCTCTCCCACCGGTCTAGCCTTTCCTTTCCCTGCTGCCCCAGGCGTGCTGTGGGGCGAAGCGCTCGCAGTCCTTTGCGTGGGTGACACCGGGGGGTGACACCGGCCCCACAGCCCCGCTCCTGGTTTTCAGGCCAGAAGAACGGAGCGTCTGCGGGCTCCAAGTAGGGCAAGAGGCACCGGCTTTGTCAAACGGCTGCAGTTGGTTTCTGTGCCTGTGGGGGGCACTGGAGCCCCCCCGAGAAGCAGCAGGGACCGGGAGCCGGTGTCCTGGGCACCTTCCGACAGCTTATTAATAATTTAAGCGGCTGCTTAATTCTGCACAGCCCCTTCTGAGCAGAACCCGGAGCCACCAGCCTGGCTACGAGGGCCGCATGGATAATGTGCGGCTCCGGCTGCGGGGATGCAGAGGAAAGCTTAAACTAAACTGGTTTCCACGTCCCTCTCCCCTGCCCCCACCGCTGGGAAGCAAACTACTGCCACCCAGGTCTATATAAAACCCTGCTCATTCTGTCAACCTGACTGCTCCCTGAATGTAGGGCAGGTACCAGCCCAGATCTGCCAGCTCCCATCAGAGCCTCGCTGCGTGCCCGGGCGCTGGGGAGCATCTTGCAGAGCACAGTGAGGTGGTAGCAGCTTTTTCAGGGTCGATGCACAAGGGAAAGGCAGAATCAAGCCAGCCTTGTGGTGCAGAGGGCTGCCTGCGGGTGAGGAGCGTCCTTCACCTTCCTGCCTGCAGAAGGCAGGGGATGCAGTGCCCGTCACTGTGCCAAGGAATGAGGTGGCTTTGGGGTGACCCGAAGCTGTGCACAGGGGGACCAGAGGTCTCCTTTGTGCCACCTCAGCCAAGCTTGCAGCTGCCCTGGCATCCCTCCGTGGCCATCAAGGTCCTGCTCTCCCTCCTCACCGGGGGGGCAGAGGGGAACGTGCCCCCATGAGCCCCCCACCACTGGGCTGTGCACCCCAGGGGCGCAGAGCTGGGGCTGGCGCTGCAGCCGCACAGGCTCCGGCTCTTCCCCCATCTGCTCCCAGAAGCCATCCTTGCCTGAGCTCAGCTCCTAATTTTGAACACCTCCGCCACCCAGCACCCTCCCCTTCCCCCAGCTTGGAGTTCATCCTGCATATATTTGCCACACAGCATTTAAAATAGAGCCCGGCAGCCCACGTGTGGCACTATGCAGCCCGGCCTGGGCTCAGCTTGTGCTTTCTGACTCTGGTTCCTGGCTCCCCTCTGCTCCTTTCTTTCTTGGAGCAGAATGGGGGGCAAAGCCCTCCTCCCCATGCCCTGGGAGCCCCACTCTGGCAGGAGGGGGTGACAGGGGGTTCGTAGCAGCAGCTCTGGAAGCCTGTGCATGATGATGCGTGCTTACTCTCATGTATTTCTCCATCCAGCCTTTGTGTCTCCTCCTGGGTGCTCCAGCTGGAGCTGCCCTGGGCTGTGTGTTCGAGACCACCGTGGACTCAGTGGACCCAGGTGGGGTCTCACAGAGAAGGACCTCTGGGGTGGGCAGATGTTGAAGGGTTCCCCCAAAAGATGGTGGTTCCCTCCCAGGGGTGGTTACCTCAACAATGGGGACCCAGGGCAGCCACTGGTCCCTCTGCTCCTCCAGGACTGGAGTGGAGCCTTGGAACTGGACCAGCAGGACACGAGCACTGAACCAGAGCAGAATAAGACCCCTTGGTCTCTGTGACCTGACCACCTCCTGCGGCGTGGAGAGGGAAGAGAGGGGTGTAGGAAGGGACTGCTGTGAGAAAGGGCAGTTCACGGCTGGTTGGGCCTTGAAGGAAACCATGCAGGTCTCTGGGCTGGGTCAGCCTGGAGAAGAGAAGGCTCCTTAAGGGGAGGCCTTAGAGCAGCTCCAGTGCCTAAAGGGGCTGCAGGGAACCTGGAGAGGGGCTTGGGACAAGGGCCTGTAGGGACAGGCCAAGGGGAATGGCTTGAACCTGCCCGAGGGGAGACTGAGCTGAGCTCTTAGGCAGAAGCTCTTCCCTGTGAGGGTGCTGAGGCGCTGGCACAGGGTGCCCAGAGAAGCTGTGGCTGCCCCATCCCTGGCAGTGCTCAAGGCCAGGTTGGACACAGGGGCTTGGAGCACCCTGCTCTATGGAAGTGGTCCCTGCCCGTGGCAGGGGATGGAGCTGGAGGAGCTTTAAGGTCCCCTCCAACCCAAACCCTTCTGTGATTCTTGCCATGTGTGACCTGGGGAAGAGGCTCCCCTTGCCCTGTGGGTGCAGTGTGGCTGTGCTGAAGGAGGGGATGAAGATGCAGCAGCGGTGCCTGTGACGCAGCCTGGCCCTGGCCGCTCTGCTCCTGTGTCCAGCTGAGCTCTGCTGTGGGGCTGGCTCTGCCATCCCTCTTGCGGGTGGCTCAGATCTCACTTTGTGCTTCCCATCCCACTGTCCCTGGAGAGAGGCAGAGCAAGCTTGAACTGGAACATGTTAATGTGGGGAGCCGGCTGCTTTCAGGCTCCAGTTCTCTGCTCTCAGGCTCCAGTTCTCTGCTCTCCTGAAAGCAGCCACTTCCATTCCCCAAGCCCTGGGGTTAACCCTGTGTGGGGCACGCCGGGAAGCATCCTCACGATGACACAGCAACACCCTGGGAAATTTCCATGAAGCTCCTGGTTGAATCTAATTCGACTTGGCACTGGCTTGGCTTTGCGGGCAGTCCAGATGGATGTTTGTTGTGTGAGGCGCTTGCAGGACGGGTTCTCTGACGTGCCTTTGCTCTCCTTGGGGTGCTGGAGAGAGGAGCTTCACTGCTGATCACCCTCAGCAAGGAGCAGGGCTGTGGAGACAGGGGACCACTGCACACTGCTGGCTCTGGGGCTAGTTTGCTTCGACTCAAGAGGCAGCATTGTCCCAAGCGTTTTCCAGGAGAACAGGCTGGGAACGTGTGGATGCTCCTGTTCAGTTGGCTCTACCTGGGCCCATCCAGGCCAGGAGCCAGTTAAACTGGTTTCCTTCCCCAGCCTCCCTGTGGGTTTGGGTGGGAGCTCACCTGAGTCCACGCTGTTCTTCCAGCCTGACCCAGAAAGATGGAGCTGATGCCGATCCTTATTTAAGGCGGTGCCTGTCCTGGTTCTCGTTCCTCTTGCGTTCAGGAGCTGCTCAGAGGTGCCTCAGGAGCCAGACAGACCCCGGGAGAACGGCCTGACCCGGTAC